GCTACTTCATAACTGTAATGTTGCTACTGTTATGAATCATAATGTAAATAAATATCTGATATGCAGGATGGTCTTAGGTGACCCCTGTGAAAGGGTAGTTCGACTGCCAAAGGGGTCGTGGCCCACAGGTTGAGAACCGCTGCTAAGCAATGCTTTATAGCTGTATCCCACAAATTTTAATGTGATCTCTTAACTTTCATTTAGTTTGAAATACTTTCTAATTTCCCTTATAATTTATTCTTTGACTCATATGTCATTTAGAAATATATTGCTCCATTTCCATATAGTTAGAGATTTTGTAGGCATCTTTCTGGTACAGAATTTAATTTAATTGGCTTTAATGTAGTGGCTGCTTGCTTTAAAGTTCATGGTGTGCTCTTTAACTTACCACAGTCTGCATTTAAGTAATATTATACCACTCCATATATGAGAACCTTATAACAGTATGCAGTAATCTCCCCTTATTCACTGTTTTACTTTCCACAGTTTTTGTTACCTGTTGTCAATAGTGGTCCAAACATATTCAATGGAAAATTCAAAAAATAAACCATTTATAAGTTTTAAATTGCACACCATTCTGAGGGGTGTGATGAAATCTCGCACCAACCTACTCAGTCCCACCCGAATGGTGAGTCATCTCTTTGTCCAGCATCTCTAGCTATATGTGCAAGCCTACCCATTAGTCACTTGACAGTCAACTTGCTATCAGATTGACTGTGTGGTATCTCAGTGCTTGTGTTCGTCACCTTACTTTACTTAATGATGGCCCACAACACATGCACAGTGATGCTGGTAATTCGGATATGCCAAAGAGAAGCCATAAACTGCTTCTTTAAGTGAAAAGCTGAGTACAGTCCGTAAGATATTTTGAAAGAGAGAGACCATATTCACATAACTTTTATTACAATATATTGTTACTATAGGCCCGGTGCACGAATTCGTGCATTGGTGGGGTCCCTCAGCTTGGCTTTCAGGGATCAGTGCACTCCACACTAGTCTTACCCGCCAGCTCATTGGGCTCCAGCCCGCTGTCTGTGTCAATGCTGCACAGCACAAAGTAGTGCGCCAAGCAGCAGGCGACCAGGAAGGAGCCCAAGCCCAGGCTGGGCGCCTTTAGCTCTGGCTCATCTCGGCCCCCCGCTGCACCTGCCACCACTGCCATTCAGGTGCGCAGGGCAGGAGAGGCTCGCACTGCCACAGCTGCGCTCACCAGCCATCTGCCCGGCATCTGGCGCCCGTTTGTCAGCTGAGCGGCGTTTCCACTGTGGGAGCACACTGACCATGAAGGGTCAACTCCTGCGTTGAGCGTCTTCCCCCTGTTGGTCAGTGTGCATCATAGCTACCGTCCGGTCATCCAGTTGCTTTGGCTTTTATATATAGAGATAATTATTTTATTTTCTTATTGCTTTTACTCTCTTTCTATGCCTAACTTATAAATTAAATTTTACCATCAGTATGTATGTATAGGAACAAAAGCATATGTGGGGTTTAGTACTATCCACAATTTCAGGCATCCTCTGTGGGTATTAGAACATATTGCTTGTAGAGTGAGGTGGGGTGAAGAGGGGAGAAAAACTACCGTCTTCCAATTCCCAAGCCTCTGTGCTACTTCAACATGTTAGAAACCTCAGAGTCCACTGTTAATATATTTTTATTTAGCAAAATATCTTTAAAATAAGAAAAAAGTCTTTTTACTCACATATATATTATTTGTGATTTTTTTTTAATCAATCCAGATTTCTATTTGGCATCATTTACTTTTTACCAGAAGACGTCCTTTAACATTTTTGAAATGTTAGTCTGCTGGTGGTAAATTATTTCAGCTTTTGTCTGAAGAAAATCTTAATTTTTGTCTTTACTTTTAAGAGTTGTTTTCACGGGTTTTCTAAGTTGACAGTTTGTTTTTTCTTTCAGTACTTTAAAGATATTTCTCCTCTGTATTCTTCCTTGCTTTTCCTGACATGAAGTTTCCTATGTTTATTATCAGTTTTCTCACTAAATGTAATATGTCTTTTTTTTCTCCATCTGCTTTTCACATTTTTCTCTTTATCACTGACTTTAAGCAAATTGATTTCCATGTATCTTTCATCTAGTCCACTTCTGTCTTTTTTCCACCTCTATTAGGGGCTTGCTCAGCTTCTAGGATCAACGGGTTTACAGTTTTGAACAAATTTTTGGGGGAAAATTTAGCTCTTATTTCTTTAATATTTTTCTGTACACTATCTCCTTCTGGTACTCTAATTACATATATATTAGTGTAATAATTAGTTTAATCATTAGTAGGTCATCAATCTATTAATTTTATTTCCAGTTTTGGTTTTTCTCTTTATTTCACATTGAAATTTTTCTCTTGCTATATATTCCAGCTCACTAATCTGCTGTTGATTCCATCTAATGTATTCTTTTATCCAGGCATCATATATTTTTCATTTCTAGAAGTTTAATGTGGGTCTTTATTATATCTTCTTAATTTTCTTTTATCGTGCTTATACTTTCCTCTGATATATTTTAATGTCCTTGTCTACATATTACCATGTCATTTTTGGAACAATGTCTTGATTGCTTTCCCCTTATCCTCATTATGGATCATATTTTCTCACTTCTTTGTATACCTAGTAATTTTTAAAAATATGTTTCTATTGATTTTAGAGAGAGAGGAAGGGATAGGGAGAGAGAGATAAACACACTGATGAGAGAGAAACACTGATCGGCAGCCCCCTGCACGCCCCCTCCAGGGATTGAGCCTGCGACCTGGGCAAGTGGGCCATGACCTCTTGGTTCATGGGTTGATGTTCAACCACGTAGCCACACTGGCCAGGCTAGACCTAGTAATTTTTATGGGATTAAGATATTATAAATTTTACTTTATTTCAGAGATTTTTTTAAAGCCTTTGTTCTGGGATGCCATTATTAGGAGTCAGTTTGATGTTTTCAAGAATTGATTTTAACCATCTTTAGATGGGATCAGAATAGCCTAATCTACTTCTGCTACCAAGGCCATAAGATTCTGAATATGCTCTTTGTAATTTCGTATGTTAATAGGTCTTTTCCTTCTGAATGGTATTAACAAAACCTTTCCAAGTCCTGTTATGAAACCAAGGGATTGTTCTGCCTAGTCCTTTGGATGTCTTTTTCTACAGCCTTGGTAATCTCTTCACATGCATGCACTGTTCAGTAGTCAGCTGAAGACGCAAGCAGAGCTTCCTACAGGTATGGGGACTCTTCTCAATGATGCCCTCTCCTCCCTGACACTCTGGGGTGTAAGTTCTATGACGTTACTTCTCCATAGCCTGAGCTTTGTCTCCTTAATGCATAGATAACCCTGGGGTCTGTTCAGGAACCTCCTCCCAGCCCTGGAGCCTAATGTACTTTTCAGGAAATAAGTTAGGGTAATCATAGGTTTGCCTTTTTTTTAAAAAAAAAAATGAATTTATTAGGGTGACATTGGTTCGCAAAACCATAGAGGTTTCAAGTGTACGACTCAATAAAACATCATTTGCACACTGCATCATGCGCTCATTGCCCCTAGCAGTCTCTTTCTGCCCCCATTTACCCCCTTTGCCCACCTCCACCTCTACCTCACCCCCCTTTTCCTCTGGCTGTCACCACACTGTTGTCCGGGTCCATGTGATAAATTCACCTTTTTAATGTCTCCTTTCTCTGGCATTACTATCCTGTGCTTTTTCTACTTCTACAACTTCTACATATAAAAAGTTGTTGTATACACACACACACACACACAGTAAATCTAGTCCCTGGCAATTCATCATGGCTAGAATCTGCACTCACAACATGATGTTTTTGATGGCTTGAATATTATTTACTACTGGGTTCACATAGTATATTTGTGTATTGAAACTCATGATTCTGGCCTGGCCAGTGTGGCTCAGTGGCTGAGCATTGACCCAGAAACCATGAGATCACTGGTTTGATTCTTGGTCAAGGCACATGCCCAGGTTGTAGGCTCAGTCCACAGTAGGGGGTGTACAGCCAGTCAATGAAGTTTCTCTCTCATCGATGTTTCTATCTCTCCCTCCTCCTTCCTCTCTCTCTAAAAAAATATCAAGAAATGCTTTGAAGACCCAATGAAGCTTAACTTTAGCAACAAGACTTTTAACTATGAAAACAGGGAATAAAGCAAGGAAGCACATTCAGATATGAGAAATAAAGTTAATACATTCAGTTGAGGGAAGCAGGCAAAAATCAAATGGTAGGTTTGCCAGCATCCATACCTCAAAACATCTTCCCATTTACCGTGTAGAAAGGTCACATGGCTCTTTTTTCATCTCTAAACCATGTTAAGACACATAAATGAACATTACTAATGGTACCTATCATGCATATATAAAAAAACCTATCCATTCACAGCCATTAATTGAATTAATTTAGAGACATTAAATCTATTTGTATGTACAAATGTATGCAGTTAAATTTTATTTTATTGTGATAAGAACATTTAACATGAGATCTACCCATGTAACACATTTAAAGTTACAATATATTTTTTTGACTATAGGCATAAATGTTATACAGCAGATTCTACAGCTTATTCCTCTTGCCTAACCAAAACTTGATGCCCATTGATTAGTATACCTATACAGTTATTCCTACAAAGATAGTGAAAGACATCTTAGGAGTTATATATAGTCACTTTGCTATAACTTAAAAATTTTGACTACTTCCATATTTTGAGCACTCCAGGTTCAGGTGATGCATAAAATACTCCAAAGAAAGTGTAATAGGTTAAATATAAATGCTTAGAAAATCAGGTGTGAATGAGACAGTCTATAATGAGAATCAAAGAAGTAAAAAAGCACATCAATGTTTTGTTATCCTGTCCCTTTCCCCAGCTAAAATAATTTGATTAATAGCACCTATGAAAAATTCTTATTTGGGTAGTTGAGCAACCTTTTTAAAATTAAATCACTTTGTCCTCTCCCCACCCCCAACACACACTTAGCACACCCAAATGGTCTCTTTCTTACCTACATGATAAAGTTCAACAATCCTTTATGTGGCCTCCAAGGATTTTGTGACCTTACATCTCTACTCTCAGGGAGAATCTTTTTGTTTCTTCAGAAACATGTGCATCTTCTAGCCCAACTGTTATTGTATTATTCTGTAATTGCTATTGTACATTTCTATATCTCACTTAGAAAAGAAATTCCTTAAAGACAGAAAACATACATTGCTCATATGTAGATCTGCAGTGACTAACCAGTGTCTGGTTTGTATCAGGTTTTTATTTAATACTTTCTGTTGTTGATATTATTGAAACAGGATAGTCTTCTGCTTCCTTCATGAGTATTTCTGAACAAATACTTTAGAAAACGTAGCCCTGGAGAGTATTATGCTAGTGAAATAAGCCAGTCAGAGAAAGACAAGTTATCATATGATTTCACTTACATATGGAATCTAATGAACAAAATAAACTAACAAAGGGGAGACAGACTCATAGATACAGAAAAAAGACTGACTGCTATCAAAGGAGAAGGTGTTGGGCCTGGGTGAGAAAGGTAATGGGATTAAGCAAAGAAAAAAAGAAAGACTCATGGACATAGACAACAGTATGGTGATTGCCGGAGGGAAAGGGGGTGGGTGGAAAGAAGTAGAAGAGGATAAAGGGGGAATAAATGATGGAAGGAGACTTGACCTGGGGTCACAACACAATATACAGATGATGTACTGTAGGATTATATACCTGAAACATATATAATTTTATTAACCAATGTAACCCAAATAAATTCAATTAAAAAAGAGAAAAATCTAGCCTTCTAAATATGTACAGTGTAGAACATACTTATACAATAAGAAAAACATGTTTTTGCTTGGTTCACAGAGCCAAGGCCAAAATAAAAAGGACCTAGCAAAATCTGGCATATCTGGACACTTGCAAAGTAGTGCACCCATCTATAATAATAAAAGAGTAATATGCTAATTAGACCGGGCAGCCGGACAACCAGACAGCCTTCCGGATGATCTTCGGATGAAGCCGGAGCTGCGAGGGCCGAGCCCCTTGCATGAATTTCATGCATTGGGCCTCTAATAGCTTTATATGTATAGACATTCTGGGAAAACAGTTGTTAAATGGTTGAACCTATAGTTTGGGCCACATAATTTTAATTAATCACCAAAGTCTGCTTACAGGGACAAAATTATTTGATGAGAACACAATTAGTAGATATTGTTAGCCTCAAAAGCTCGTATTTACAGATTAAAAGAGCAAAATGGTATACTTTATATTTACCAGAAACAGAACACAGCAGTGATTTCAACAATTAGATAGAAAAAAGTTAGAAAATTAAAAAAAATCATTTCAAAAATATTTTTGGAAGTAGGTAGATAGGTCATCAATACTAAGTAAAAGGTCCCAATTGTTGTCAGTTATTTAAACTTACCTGATTATTATATGCATCAGGTGCAAGTTTCTTGTATGTTGGTGCCATAAGAGTAGACAGGTTTTGTAAATGAGACTCCAGTTTTTCTTCCTGTATAAAATGAATAATTCTACATATTAAATTCTAAATCCATTCTCTCTGTATATGAGACTATCAGTTAGATCCCCCCCCCCCATATCTTAGATACAAATCACTATATACTATTCATCTTACTAAATAAAGCATCTTAACATGACTATTTCTAAGTGAAAGTAGAGGCCACATATTACCTAGTTTCATATGTGCTACTAATATCTAGCTCTTCTGATAAGATTAATCAACTTTCTACTTTGCATGCAGATATTTGGCATTTTATAAATAGAAGCCCGTGCTGGTAGAAGGGTTAGGAGAATGAAACTATACTATCTGGCTTTTTTTTTAAAAAAAATTTTTATTTATTTTTGTTTTCGTTTCCCACAGTGAGGGTTCTGACTGAAAGACTAAAACGTGTTTCCTTAAGCTGGTCTGTTCTCCCCTGAGTCACTGAGGAAACTTAATTTGTAGAGACAGCATGCTCCTGCTAAAGTCCTTTTAATTCCCTTCTAAGACTGGATTTAAAATAAATTGCATGGACTTTTTTTCTCATTTTCATTCTAAGAAGGTGACTTTATTTCCTCTGGGATAAACCGCTCCACCCTTCTCATACTAGCCACCCACTTCCTCTGTGATGCTCACTGATAAAATCTGCAAGTCCTCATGGACTTTTTGTAGTAGGCCTTCCAGAATGAACACAGAGGAACCTCATTTGGGGCAGTAGGTCTAGTGCCTCCTATGATTTTGAAAACTGTAGATGAGAATACTCCGTTTGGTTTACGTGAAATCTGGCTTGAGTGATAAGCACTTATGAAAAAGTGGTGAAAAAGTTCTCTAGTGTGGAAAATTAAAATGGCTGACAGCATGCAAAATTACTGCTTTAAATTGGGCTTATTTAGTACTAGAGGCCCGATGCACGAAGATTCGTGCAAGAATGGGCCTTCCTTCTGCCTTTGCTCTGGCCAGAGCCACCTTTCTGCCTTCTCACACTGCCCAGAGGCCCAGAATGGCTGGGGCGGTGTGGAACGCCTGCATCCCACTTCTCCCCTAGCCACTTGGTGCCTGCATATGCAAATTAACTCACCATCTTTGTTGGGTTAATTTGCATACTCATTCATGATTGGCTGGTGGGTGTCACAAAGGTACGGTCAATTTGCATCTTTCCCTTTTATTAGTGTAGATATCCCTGATGAAGTTTCCCACATGAGGGTTCTGACTGAAAGACTAAAACGTGTTTCCTTAAGCTGGTCTGTTCTCCCCTGAGTCACTGAGGAAACTTAATTTGTAGAGACAGCATGCTCCTGCTAAAGTCCTTTTAATTCCCTTCTAAGACTGGATTTAAAATAAATTGCATGGACTTTTTTTCTCATTTTCATTCTAAGAAGGTGACTTTATTTCCTCTGGGATAAACCGCTCCACCCTTCTCATACTAGCCACCCACTTCCTCTGTGATGCTCACTGATAAAATCTGCAAGTCCTCATGGACTTTTTGTAGTAGGCCTTCCAGAATGAACACAGAGGAACCTCATTTGGGGCAGTAGGTCTAGTGCCTCCTATGATGCCCAGCACCAAGGGTTTAAGGATCTGATTCGCATGTTAGTAGTCTGTGGCTCGTGGGGAAGTTAGATGTATAGTAGGTCTGGCTAAGACACATTTAAAGAAAAATATAGTCTTAAAGAGGTCACATTCTCTACTCCCTCTCCATTTTGCTGCCAAGAAAGATGGCTATTAAAAGGATTTGTTTGGTTTAAGTTGTCTATTTCTAACCTCCATACTTTTAAATGTCTATTAAAATAGCATTTCAAAATTTAAAAGGATCTCTTCACATAATAACTAATATTTACTTAATGCTTCAAATACGAATAAAATCTTCACAACTAGAATGTATATGAAGAACTTGGCAAAGTTTATTTGAAAGGAGAAATGATCAGTTATCCCACCCA